CTGTACTGACTCTGCACCATATCCCAGCCTGGTTGGAGCGCTCACTCCGTGGACTGGAAAGGAGGCAGCGCAAGGCGTTGCCATCGATACGGCCTGAGGTTGCCACAAGTTGCTGGACCTCTTGAACTTTGGTTTTCTGCTCTGTTAAATGGGGATAATTCCAAGTAGTAACTAGCTTACACTGTTGTTACTGGGGTTAAACAAAGATGGACAAAGCTTCTAAATCCATCAAGAACCATACAAAGGAGAGGGGCTGTGGTTATTACTGTCATCACGCGCCCCGTGGCAGGCAGCCAGCTGGTAGTGGTTAATTATTTATTTGGACTGATCTTCCTTCCGGCACTGGACTGTGGGCTCCTGAGGAACAGGAACTGCCTTCCACACTTCTGGTCTCTCCCAGGACACTATCTTCATCCACAGTCAACACCTGTGGCATCCGTGAGCAGCCCCTGAGCCAACCCCACCCCTCATCATGCACCCCCTTCCTTCTCATACCCTGCTCCAAGGAAAGCGCCCAGAGGCAAACCTGGCACACAAGGGCAGAAGACAGGGGGATGCCCCCTGGCAGACTCTTCCCCCCACAACAGGTCATTCCCAATAAGGGCTAGAAGCAGCCATCTGAACGTGTCTCCCTACCTAGGAGCCAGCCTAGGCAGCAGTCTTGAACCCATGATCATTCAGGAAAGAACGAGTCTATGGTCTGGAGGGCCTCCAGCATCTCAAAACCAGAGTAGGGTCAGGAGTGGATTTGCAGAAGGTATGCAGCAGAACACGCTAACACGCACAACTGCCCACTGAAGGCAGAGGCTTCCAAGAGGTAATGAGTACCCTGTCTTGGAGGGCATGCAAGCCAAGGCTGGACAACCAGCTGCCACATAAGTAGGTCTGGATGAGAGCAGCTTCTGGAAAATGCTTCCAGCACCTCCAATCCAATCCCTCTGTGTCCTACCCATTCTGTACCCAGAGCCTCCCAGGCCTTCAAGGGACACATGCCTAGGGGACTCATGCCCACATCTGCCTCATTCTCCCAGCAACCAAGTGGGATGGGCCAAGTTCTGCCCTTGGACCCATTTTACAGATCAGGAGACTGAAGCCCACCACAGGAGAGTTACTGGCCCAACACAGATAGACAGCTACAGCCTCCTGCCACCTTGGTTCTCTCCCCCATCTCCTCTGGTAACAGGGGCCCACTCAATCATGATGGGGTCTGGACTCTCCACAGAGCCTATGGCTATGACTGCTTTTCTCAGCCTCCCTTCAGACCCTCTCTAAAGGTAGGGCCCAACCTCAGAATCCCATGGAGCTTACAGCCAGGAGGGTGGCTGCCTCCCCATCCTGAGAGACTCTTAAGGACAAAGAGCACTTCTCCACAGGGCATGGGCAGAGGGCACTGTGTCCTGCTAAGAGGTCAGAGCTGTCGCCAGGCAAGGCTGCAGCGGTGTCCTGGGTAATTGTGGCAGCCCTGCCTTTGTTGTCCACACAAAATCTAAGGAGCCTCATAAAGACCAAGCAGCAGCGACAGGAGCCAGGCCAGGGCCCTGGGGAGCAAAGTTATGAATGAAAGTGTAGGGGACCCAGCCACGACCCACGGGCCCTGCTTCCTGGTCCCAAGACCAAGTGTTCACAGAGGCTTCCGGAAATTAACTAGTTGGTGCCCAAATTTCTTACAACAACGCCTCACCCTGAGGCCAGGGTCATGGCCACTCACTGGACCCTCTAGGTCAGTGGCTTTATATGCAGGTACTCTTGCGACAAAACTCTCAGGATGCAACAGGCCTCCAAGTGCCTTCCTTCCTTGATCCCTCCACCCCTCCCCCATCAGGAAAAAACAGGAAAAAAAGTGAAGTTTGCAGTTCTTCTCAGTTGGGTCCTCGCCCCTGCAATTTTCTGGAATGAGTCAACGGTGGACACCTGTCCTATGTTGGAGGCATGTCTTAGGGGCCGGGGATGGAGACAATATTGTGTTACTGTAACTAGGGAAGTGAGCGTGTGCGCGTGAGAGTGAGAAACTGTAGTTAAGTCGCCAAACCCCACAGTTTCTGGACCTTTCTTCATTTTGCTCCTGGCTGTGAGAGAAACAAGAACTCTCCTCCCCCCTTTCCTTAGGAGGGAAAAGGGACATTTTGTCCCCACGAAGAAGCCAGCAATCCTTTTCTGCATAGACAAGTCTATTTATTCATAAGACCTGTGATTTCTTATTCCCAACTCTTCTCAGTAAGCCCTACCCAAAATGCCAAATCCACCTCTTGAATCCACTCCCTACTGCTCCCTTCTCCTCCCCCCGCCCCCCACCTCCAGTCACTGCCACCAACTCTCAGAAGTCTAAACTTTTGAGATTTACATTTGAAAACAGCGTTTCATAACCTCGTGATTTGGGACAAGGAGCCGCTTCTGTCCTTTGGGGGAAAACAAAACCCAACCGAAATCATTAGGCTCAGAAGAAAACACCATCTCCCTCCAAATGCATTCCCCGGGCCCCCAAGTCACACGTGCTCTGTAGCAGATAGGGCTTTCAATGTGTCTTTTGTTTGATGCTGGTGTTTCAACATCCTCGACTTCAAGAGGGAAAGGTCAGCCCAAGGCTCGGGGTATTCACAAACCCACCCGGCCTCTGCACTGGGGCCAGGAACCGGCGAATGAGGGGCCAGGAATTTCCCCCTCTCGGGACCCCCTCACAAAGCGGCCGGGACAGAGAAGGCTAAGAGCCTGCTCTCTCATCTCAACTTCCCCGATAGCTCAGCAGCAGCTTCACACTCCCGGGACCCTACCAGCGCCAGCGAAGGCAGGCTGGAATTCACCAGCGCCAAGCTGCCCGGCTCTCCAGCCCCAGCGCCTGACTCTTTATCTACACCTTCAAAAACAATAATAAGCAAACCCAGGCACCTCTGGGAACAGCCTCTGGCCTCCCGCCCTGCCCGGTGTAACCAGCCTGTCCTCACACCCACCAGGGAGGAGGAGTCGGCACTGGTTAACCCTCTGGTCTACCAGGCCCGGTTCCCAGGTTGCAGCAGGGAGACAAACTGTTGCTCAAGAAAATCCTTCAGAAAACCCTTGGCACCAGGAGGCAGCTCGGAGCGGCTCTGCACCCGGCGCGGAGCCAGGGGCTTCCACAGGCGGTCGTCCACTGTCCTTTTAAATCACTGGGGCTGGGCCCTACTCTCCCATGCCCTGGGCTGTCCACCCAGAGGGCTCCAAATGTCCGTGGCAGAGCAGAGAGGAGGGAAAGGCTGGCCGAGCCGTGCCCTCACCCCGCCAGCCCAGCCGCCAGCTTCTTGGAGGACCTCTGAGAGAACATTTGTTTGGGCTGCCAAGTTAAATCTTCCTCCCTCATGTCAGGGCATTGGAAAAGCAGTCAGGGGAGAGGAGAAGGGGGAGAGCGCGCGGGGGAAGGAGCAGCGGGAGGGAGGGAGGGAGGGAGGCAGGCGGGCAGGCTCAGAGCCCCAGTTACTCGGGCACAGCCAGCCCAGGAAGCTGGTGGCTCCCGGGCAGGCGCAGCGGGAGCTCCGGGCACCGAAGCAGGGACCCAGTCGCCAGGCCTCCCCCGGTCAGGCAAGGGTACCAAGCACCCTTGGCCCACCCGAGAGTGGCTCTCGCTCAGTGACCTGCTGGAGGGGCTCGAGGTGGGAAGGGAAGGCAGAGGACGAAAAAGTTTGCTGCAGGTAGAGGGGTAGGGCAAGGCGGCGGTGCCGACGGGCTGTCCCCCGGGGAGGGGTGGGGGGCCCCGCCTGGGTGCCCTGGCGCGCTCCCGTCCGCCCGCACTCCCGCCCGGGTTGTTTACATTCCTGGAGTGTCTTTTAAACCCCGGGCAGAGGCCGGCTCCTGGCCTTCTCCGGCGGCTCCGGGGCAGTCTCCCGTGAAAATCTGCTGGCGCACAATGGCCGAGAAGGCGGCCGCCCCTCGCCCGCGCCCCCACCGCTCCAGGGCGGGGAGCCTGCCCTCCGCACCGCGTCCTCTCCCCGCCCGGCCGGCTTCCTGGACAGATGTCCCCGGCGAGGGGGCGACGCGCGCCCGCTGCCCGCGCCCTAGACGCGGAGGCCGCGCTCCCCACTGTTTTTTTCCCAGCCCAGACGCCAGGAATGTGAAACAAGCTTCCAGAGCCCGCCTCCCCCCCGACCCCGGCTCCAGCCCCGGCCCCCCAACCGCCGCCCCGGCCGGCCTCCCACTCCCTCGGGGCCACCGCCGCCGGAGACGAAGAGGAAGAAAGAACACCGGGATATTACTTTCGTATTTGCAACGCGCGCGCGCACACACACACGCACATCTTCCCCCTGGGCTCTCCTCCTGGCCGGGGCAGCCCCGTCCAGGCGTTGGCCTGAGCGCCCCTCGGGCTTCGGAAGCCCTAGCAGAAGCCCTTACACACACTCCTCCGCGTTCCTCGTTCGTACCGCGCGCCGCCCTTCCCCGGGCAATTCCCACACAAACAACTTAACCGCGCCCCCACCTACCATTTACAAAAGTGTATGTTTTCCCTGGAAATTCAGACGCACAACTTAACACCACCACCCCTTGCCACCCTGAAATCCAGAGCCTTCCCCAGTGGTTCCCGTACACACACTGGCGCACAACTTCGCATCTCCCCAGAGGAGGCGAAGGAGACCGAGGCGGTCCTTCCCCGGTCCTTCCCTCCCTCCTCCGATTCCCGGTCCTGCCCGGCCCCCGGGTGTAGAGAGCGAGGGCTGGAGGCGCGCCGGCAGGAGGCGGGCACCGGGTCCGCGCGCGCACGACCACACTTACGCCCCGCACACCCCGACAAACCCGGCCCCCGCGCGCAGCCCAAGCCGGCTCCGCACAGCCGGGAGCTCGCCGGCCGCTGGGCCTCCGCCCCCCGCCACCAAGGGGAGCGGAGCAGAGCCCGCGCCGCCAGCCGGTCGCCCCGCTCCGGGGGACTCTTTAAGGGAAAAGCCCCAGAACCCAGCACCCCCACGCTTGCGCCCCCAGTCCGCCAGGAGCCGGAGGTAGCTGCGGAGCCAGCGGGCGCCTGGCTCTGGCCCCAAACTTACCGGGCGCTGCGAGCGCCGCTGCCGCCGCTGGAGGACGCGCCGCCGCCACCGCCGGGTAGGGCAGGCTCGGGCCGGGAGGAGCGCAGTGAGGGCGCCGAGATCCGCTCGGCTCCGGCTCCCGCTCCGCGCCGGCTGGGGCTGGGGTCACCGCGCTGCGCCGGCTTTGCTCGCTCGTTCGGCCGCCCGATCGCTGCTCGCCCGCCTGCCGCCCGGCCGCTCGCTCTCCCCGGCGCCCGCCGCCGCCGCTCGCTTTTTTAATGTCCACAGACAGTGAAAAGGAACTCGGCGTTAGGGGGTGAGTAAGTGAATCAACTCGCCCGGAGCCGAGCAAGTTGAAGTGTCAGATTACATTGGCTATTCTATTTCCAAAGGGCCCCGCGCCGCCGGCCGCCCGCAAAAGCCGGTGCGGAGTCAGGCCGGAGCGGAGCGCCGCGCCGTGCCGCCGCCGCTAACAGCGCTCGGCTCGACTCTGCTCCGCTCGGCTTGGCTGGCGCTCTGCGCTCTAGCCGCGAGCTCTCTTTCCCCTTTCCTTTCCGCCTCTCCTCGTTCTCTCCCTCGCCTTTCCTTTCCCTGGTCTTCCTCGCTTTCTTCCCCGTTCCTCGGTGCCGGCGCTCTCCAAGCTTTTCTCCTCCTGGCTCCCGGTTCCCCGCTACGCAGCCCGTCCACTCGCCTCCCTCCTTGTCCTACTCCCTCCGCTACTCCCTGACGCCCCCTGCAGCACCCCCCCCGCCCCCCTGCAGGCCACGGCCCCCGTAAGTTTGGAGAGGGGAAGAAATGTGAGCCTAGGTAGGGACCACCCTGGGGGAGGAAGCCAAAATCACCCGGCTCACCCGAGAGCCCCTGCCCCTCGCTGGTGCGCCCCCGCCTGGAGTGCACTCGTGGCCTCGGGCACTGTCAGGTACCCGAACTGGGGGTGAGCGAGTTGTTAACTGGATTTCCAAAGTGTTCCCCTGGAGGAGATTTTGGAATTGTTCCTACAGCCCGGGGACTGGCGGGTGGGACGGGAAGAGGACCACCACCGCCAAGGATGATGTTGGGGCGGACTAGAGCGCGGCCCCCGACAGCTGTGGGGGAGCAGGGGGTGCAGTGAGCACAGTCGATCCACTGCACCTAGCACAGTCCAGAGACGCGTGGATTCTCGGAGGCCCGGCACGGAGCGCCCGGAGCGCTGTGCGCGCGGGTCGCGCGGGGGCTGCTGGGTTCGCGCCCGGCCCTCCGCCCGGGTCTAGGCACCGCCTGAGGTAGCCGAGAGCTAAGGTACTCACGAGGCGCAGTTGGGTGCGCCCACTCGCGGGAGTTCCCCTAGCAGACCCACACCCCGAGAGCATCCAAGTGCGCGCCCACTTTGGCTCACGTCCATTGCCACTCTCACGGAAACTCCTACACGAACAGCACACACGTTCGCTCCCTCAGCATTGCAAACACGCTCCCCCCAACCAACGCGCCCCCACACACTCGCTTACTTTCCCTCACAAAGATGCCCGCTTACACGGCCACAGCAAGCACGCTCAGAGACACGCAGTTGCACACTTACACACATCGCTGTATACAACCCCACACACACTCAAAACACAAAACACGAAACGTTCCCCTGGGCACTAAATCCTCGCGTTCACGTACACACACAAACGCACGCCCTCCTCTCCCACTCCTCTTCCATACCCCTTCCTCAAGGGCCCCCACTCATGATTTTCGGCACCCCAAGTCCCAATCATAATCGGCGCCCGCGTAGCCCCCTTTGGACACACACACAGGCGCGCACGCACGCGCTCCCCTCCCCAGCAGGCGGGGGCGGCTTCGGCCCGGAGCCCGCGGAGCCCGCTTCGGATTCCAGGTGTGGCGGCGACTCCGCGCTCCACGTTTTGCAGGCCGCCGCCGTGTTGGAGGCGAGGCGAGGAAGGGAGCTGGAATAACAAAGGCAAGTTGGGGAGAGCGCAAGGGGGCGCAGCCCTGGCCGGGCTGCGGGGGGAGCCCTGCGCGGCCGGGGCTTCGGAGGCTGCGGGGTCGCGGGCGCGGGGAGCCGGAGGTGGGGAAGGAAGGGAGGGGGGAGAGGGGCGGGGCCGAGGCGTGACGTCAGAGAACAATGACACTGCCGGGGGGCGGGCACCCGGAGGCAGCCGGGGCGGGGGGTCTCCCCCGGGGCCTGGGGCGGGCCGAAGATGTCCTGGCCGGGCCGGAGCCGCTGCCTGGCTGACGAGGCCCCGCAAGGGAGCGGACGTGCTGCACAGACTTGCGGGTCTCCCGGGGCGCTTGGGCGATGATCAGCGCGGACCTTGGGCCAACCGGGGAAGCAGGCCGAAGCACTACCCCCCCAACCCCGTTTTAGAACATCCTTCTGAGGGCTTCGCTGACCTCGGCTTGAACTCCTTCAGAGCCGGAGAGATCACTCCTTCCTTCCACCACCGAGGGAGAGAAGGCAAAATGAATTTGCCAGCTTTGAATTCATTCTCAAGGCTCCGCTAGTCTGACAGCCGGTGAACTCAGCCTGGAATTCCTGAGAGCTCAGAAAACTGCTGCTCAGGTCCACCCGGGCGTGGGGGACGGGGTGTGGGGAGCGCAAGCGGCGGGGGAGCGGGGGTGCTATTTTATTTTCCCCGGGGGAAATTCAGCCTCCCTCTGCTATTGGACGCAAAAAAAGGCACTCTTTTTGGGCCTCAGTCTCCTTACCTGTCACATGGACATGGACTGGGATCACTGCTGCTCTCCCACACCCCCCTCCCCACCCTCCCCGTAGGTGGCAGCTGAGCATCCCTGGAGAGAGTGGTGATATGAAAGCATTTCCAGACCTCTAGGGACACCAGGGAATCATGATCCCAGCACATTCCTGTGGGAGGGAGCCCCTCCTCCTCAGCCTGTGTGTGGCCCAAGTTCACAGGTAGGTCCACCAGGGCCACCTGAGAAACCTCTGAAGGTAGGAATTCAGCTTGCAGAATGGAGGCTGGAGATATAGCTGTCCCACTCCCCACAATCCACAGCATTGCAGCAGTCATACAGACACCCCATACCCAGAACCAAAAATCCCAAGAGAGTTTCTGGGTGTTTAAGGACTTGGGATACGAGCATGCAGCCCAGCTAAAAACTAGACCAGTTCTTGTTGCCTTAATGACCACCTAGGTCTGGACGCTCAGCCCTCTCAACCTTTCTGTCTAGATTCCTCAGTAAGTACCCAGGGCCTGCCCACTTCCAGGAATTGGGGAATGCAGATGACCAGGGAGGTGACTACTCATGTTCAAAGTCTCTTGACCAGAAGCTCCACACCCCCCACCCCACATCCCAGCCCCCTACTCTCCCACTAGTAATTACATCTGGAACCCAGGAAGTGGCTTGCAGAGGGCAGAGGAGCCAAGTAGGCTCAGCTTACTAGCATGGAACCAGGGATCATTTCAGCTGTCCCCTTCTGTGCAAGCATGGTGGCAAGTCAGAAACCCACCAGGGCCCTGGGTCTGCCCTAGGCTCCCGTCCTTGGGTCTCTGAGGCCCTTACTCTCTTTGTTCATCTTCCAGGAAGATGATGGGGGCAGACTGGATACCTCTGGGGTCTTGGAAGAAACTATGACTTATTTATTGCCTACTGTGTGCCGAGTACTGTGATGGGGCCACCTAGGTATTGAGAATTCAGTTCGCTTATTGAATTTGCACATTGTCTTAAGTTAGATGCTGCTACCATCCTCTTTTCAGAAGAAACTGTGAATGGCTTCCCCAACACTGGTCAGGATGGGAACTCGGGCCCCCATTAACAGAGTTCCTTGTTGTCCTCGTAGCCCTGGCTCTGTGTCTTCATCCATAGACTGTGTGGCCCTAAGAAAAATGCTTTCCCCCTCTGAGCCCCTGTAAGGTCCATGGTGCCATCAGGCCTCACTGGGAAGGAACTGTGTGTCCAAAACCCTCACCCCAAGAGCCTTTGCCTCACTGGGCCTGGAGATCTGCTGGTGAGACAGGGAGGACAGTGCCATCACTTCCCAATGGCCCGGAGTGGAAGATGCATCCTGCTCAGCCCCTGCAGACCCAGAGGTCACCTGGCTCCACTAGGAGGGCACAGGCGGCGTGGGGCAGCTGGCCTGTGCCTACCTTCAGAACAGACTCAAGTGCTGTTAATTTCACTGCCCTGTGGGAGCTACCAGCAGATTGTGGAGAGGACAATTGCTGGGCCCTGGGCCAACGTTTCAGGAGGCAGAAAATCTGGGGGCCAGCAGGATGGTGGGGGTTAGAGGCTCGAGGTCCCTGAAGGAAGCAAAAGACCTGTGTAGGTCTTTCAGGGAAGAAGAGGAGTTGGCACTGCGCGGGGCCTCCTAGCGTGAGCTGGGGTAGGGACAGGTACACAGCAGGGATTCCTACTTATCCAGGAGCTGCCTTCTCTGTTCCCACTCTCCATCCCTCACTTCTGGAACTTAAGGGAGCCAGGGAACATCTAAAATCGATACTAGAGAGGTGGGAAGAAAATCACATTTATTGAGTACTTATTGTGCGCCAGGCACTTTGGAAACATTCGTTGTATCCTCTCCGCAAGCCAGGTGTCATTCCCTACTAAGGGAAGAGGCTCAGAGAAGTTAAGTCACCTGCTCAAGATCTCACAGCTGGCTGGGCATAGCGGGTCACACCTGTAATCTCAGGACTTTAGGAGGCCAAGGGGGGCAGATCACTTGAGCTCAGGAGTTTGAGACCAGCCTGGGCAACATAGCAAGACCTTGTCTCTACAAAAAAAATACAAAAAATTAACCAGGCATAGGTGGCACATGCCTATAGTCCCAGCTATATGGGGGGCTACGGTCAGAGGATCACTGGATCCTAGGAGGGCTGAGGCTGCAGTGAGCCATGATTGTGCCACTGCACTCCAGACAGGGCAACAGAGCATGACCCTGCATCAAAAAAACCAAAACAAAACGATAAAGATCTCAGAGCTACTGAGTGGGTGGAGCCAAGATTGGGCTCCGGGTCTGGGCTGGGCCTTGAGGTTAAGAATAGGGACTGGCCCTCATTCTCACTGCCAGGTTATGGTGCAGATAAGGTGACCTACCAGGTACTTTGGGGTGGAGTAAAGACTCACCTACTTGCCAGGGAATGACCGGGGCTCCTCTTATGGCAGTGAGGTAATGGGGTTTACATTGTCTTCACCCCTTGGTGGATACAGGAAGCATTTGGCCCGGGGCCCTATGCCTCTATGAGGTGGGTGGTTGAGTCAAGCAGGGAAGATCTAAGTCCTTCAGCAAATTAGGCTCTCCTACTCTGCCTCCCCCTCATTTTCCAATCAGATGGCCCCTCCAATCTCTGAGCCCGCACCTTCCCATCCTCCAAGGCCTTCCCTCAAGCAAGATGCCCTCTGACTTTCCACCATGGAGCTCTGCCCTAGGGTTCGAGACCC